TCTATCTACTTGTTTTTGTTTTGTTTTATATATATATATATATATATATATACACACACACACACACACACACATATATATAAACCTTGCTACGTGTAGTGTTAGATTAACCGAGACTTGTCATAGCACTTGCATATCATTGCTATTTTTAAAGCATCTGCTAAATGTAAATGTAGAGCAGTGTGTGTGTTTCAGGTCAGTGTTTGATAAGCTTCGTTCACTATCTCCCCTGAGTTTTATCACACTTTAGCCAGAAATACATGTATTAGTCCTTGAACTGCTGCTTGTGTTTGTCTGCTGGATGATTGCAGCTGCTGTGAATGGAGATTTTCAGATGAAAGTTCAGGATTATTCTAAATCTGGATCACAGCATTAGCCTGCAATGAACCAGGAAAACACTGATGTTGAATTCTATTTAGTAAATACAGACAAACAGAAACGGTTTATTTGTACCTTCATTGAAAAGTTTGAAATAATTACTGTTTTCTTGAAATTGAGCATTAAGCATTTCAGCTCACCAAAGCTGCATTTATTTGATAAAAATACAGTAAAAATTGTGTAATATTATTGCAATGTAAAACAGCTGTTTTCTATGTGAATATGTGTTAAACTGTAATGTATTTCTGTGATGCGCAGCTGTATTTTCAGCATCATTACTCCAGTCTTCAGCGTCACATGATCTTCAGAAATCAGTATAATATGCTGATTTGCTGCTCAAGAAACATTTCTGATTATCAGCAATGTTGAAAACAGTCGTGCTGCACAATATTTCTGTGGAAACCGTCATACATTCTATTTTTCAGGATTCACAGATGAATAGATTCCACATACTGACCCATGCTTTTAGTTGAATGATCATGTGTATTTAATAATCATACTTCTAAGATATGTAGGGACAGATAAGTGTTTGTCCTGAATTGGAGAGGTTTGGGTCTCAGCAGTGATTGTTTGTAGAGAAGTGATCAGAAAACGAGTCCTGAAGGATTGAATGTCCATTTTTTTCTCCGCAGGACAGCAAACGCTCCTCCAGTGAGCATGTAAGATGAAGACGTGAGTGGAATATGTGGCGTGATTGTGTTGAAAAGAGATGTCCGAGTGCTCCATTGTGCTGCTGTAATGATTTTCAGACAGCTCTGGCTTGTTTTTCCCGCAGGTTTTGGAGAAGTTCACGTCCCGTCTGACCCAGATGAGGCTGTTGAATCAGCGTGACCTCCGCTCCTTCACAAAATACCAGATCATTCTGGCCCGAGAACAGTTCAGACGCAACCCGCCGCCACACATCCAGGTACAGCTTCACTCACCTGTGCGTCCCATGTTTGATGACACATTCTTGCTTTTACTTTTTTATCCTCTTATACTTTTTTATCAGCCTGAGATAATGAAACCATATGCGACCCCCGACCACAAAACCAGTCATAACGGTCACTTTTTTGAAACTGAGATTTAAAAATGGATAATTTTGACCCATACAATGTATTGTTGGCTATTGCTACAAATATACCCCAGCGACTTAAGACTGCTTTTGTGCTGCAGGGTCACAGATGCAATCGAATCCATTTACATTTAGTCATTTTGCAGACACTTTTATCCAAAGCGACTTACAACTGAGGAATACATAAAGCGATTGTTCTTAAAGAGGCAAACAGACACAGGAAGTGCTCGTAATACCAAGTTTCAGGCGACGTAAATTATTTATAATATAATCAATACAACAATGTTTAATACAGTAGCCTATGTGTGCTCTGTGCGTATATGGGCACAATAAAAGGAGAGAAGCTAAATGAGCCCGAGTCCCACTCGAGCCTGATCTGTAAAAAAAAAAAAAATGTGTGAATGGACTCTAAGCTGTATAAGTTTACAACAGCAACACTGCTTTAACAAAAAAAGCAAGACTTATTTGACATGAAAACAAGAATTTCAAACATGCTCTCTAATCGCTTCAGAGGTACTTTGAAGTCAAACACCTACAGTATTGTGTTTTGTCAGGAGACGCACAACAGTTCTTCTGTGGCTTTGTAGGTAATATTTTCGTTTACACAGTTTAGCAAAATCAAACAACATTGTGTCTAATATATACCACAATATTTACTGCTTTTATTGAGTTGTTGTAAATAAATATCACATTTGCAACTGGGCAGTGTTCAAAAAATGCTGGGAAATCACTTCACGTAACCCTACAGGAGTGATTACGTATAGGCTATGTATAAAAAAAAAAGTCATGTTTTAGAGAAGAATAAAATCACCCGCTGATTTTCAAAGCTGCTACAATACATAGAAATGACTTTATATTTCGAAGAACGAGATAGAAATGTAGTTAAAGGCACAATATGTAAGTTTTCGCCGCTAGAGGGCGCGTATTCAAAACAAACAAAGAAACAAAGGCATAGTTTGATGACGCTGTGACTGAGTGTGGAATCATGGGAGTTGTGGTCTTCATCCCCACAGCCGATGCAATCCGACGGGACTCGGGCAGGAATCATGTTCATGGATGAGCTAATGATTTATTAACGTAGTAGAATGAAGCAGGGTGAGGCTGAAAGCCATCGAAGCGAAACGAGGCGCTGAACGAGCGCGACACACGGCTCGAAAGCAGCGGAGCTTTTATTATGCCACAGTCGACCGCTGCCGCTGCTTCCGGTCGTGCGTATGTGGGGTAAAGCAGCGGAGCTTTTATTATGCCACAGTCGACCGCTGCCGCTGCTTCCGGTCGTGCGTATGTGGGGTAAAGCAGCGGAGCTTTTATTATGCCACAGTCGAGCGCTTCCGCTGCTTCCGGTCGTGCGTATGTGGGGTAAAGCAGCGGGGCTTTTATTATGCCACAGTCGAGCGCTTCCACTGCTTCCGGTTGTGTGTATGTGGGGTAAAGCAGCACTGTTTTATCATACTACATACATTTAGTTCTGTTATAATGCTACTCTGTGCGGTCGTCACCGGTCTATTAAAACACACAACATATTAAAGCATCTTTGCATTTTTCTACAAAACGAAACCGGAAATCGAGGGGTTATGACGTCATTAGCAGGCGACACAATGACACTATAGACACGCTCCGTGTCACTAGTTAAAATAGCTTATTTCTCTGGATTTAAACATTCTTCGAAACATTTGGGATAATGTAAGCACACAAGTCAGCAAAATATATAACACTGTTCTAGTGGTTTTTGGATATTTTAATAAAAAAATCTTACATATTGTGCCTTTCAGTGAAAAGTAAAGTCATAAGCTTCTAAAAAAAAAATAATAATAATACTCAAGTAAAGTACAGATCCTCAAAAAGTGTACTTTAATACCGTACTCAAGTAAATGTAGTTCTTTACTTTCCACCTCTGTCTCTCAGCAGGGGCCGCAGCAGGGCGTGATCGAGGGAGATTTCTCCATCTGCATCAGTCTGTATCACGGCTATGAGTTACTGCAGCAGATGGGCGTCAGATCTCTCTTCCTCTTCATTCAGAACATCTTCTCTGGACCCAAAGGTGCTGAGATACTCACGCTCGTGTCGGCTGATGCTCCTCTGCTCGTCACATCACCAGTGTTTGTTGTTTTCTCAGAGTCGACTCGCGTGAGGAACGAGCTCCAGAGGAGTCCGGTCTTCATGGATCTCTACAGGGAAATGGAGAGCATGTTCGCCACAGCGAGCCGAGGTCGTTAAGGGATTGATCTTTCAGAAATACACATTCTGTCATTTACTCTCTCACGTGTTCTTACAAACCTGTATGACTTTCGATCTTCAGCGAAAGCAGATGTTCAGCAGAATGTTCCTGCTTCTCTTTAACACACAAGTAGCTATGTTTATATTTTTATGCGCATTTTGGAATATCGCATTTAAAAAAAACGCTGGATGGAAACGCCAAGATGTGCATAAATTCTAAAAATGCACATAATAAACGCGAGTATGATAAACTTTTTATCCGATAAGAAAAAATGCGTATAAACTACGATGAAAACACTGAGTAAATTCCTCCAAGCGCATCTAAAAAGTCATGTGACGGGATAACTTGACTAGCAGCGGACCGATCTCGTTCACAGCATCTGAAACGTTGTTCTGAAAAGCCTGAGTAAAGTCTGTCGTCAAAGTATTTCTGTATAATTGTCTTAAACGACTGCATTCCCAAACAGCAGCATCCGCCTCTGAAAGCAGTGACAGCATTTATTGTGTTTCGTCTGCTCGCTCTGAGGCGCAAGTCATTCATCATATATGAAAATTATTATATTCAGTGGCTTCTCCTACTTTTCTTAGTGATATTTAGTGCAGTTTATCAGGAAGTGACGATTTTGTTCTCTTTGACTCGTTGGATGGAAACGGTGCTTTATTCGCAGATATTCCAGTTTTGCGCATACAGTAAGTTAAATTTGCATCTTTGGATGGAAACATAGCTAGTGACAGCGGTCAGTGATCATGGGCTGTTCAAGTACTGTAAACCTATCATCATAGTCTGGTTTAGTGATAAAGCCCAGCATCCACGCAGGGGAGTAAACGATGGATGTATGTCTGATGTGTTTGGTCTGTAGAGCCTAGAGAGCCGTATGTCTACAGTCACCCCAAACTACAGAAGCTGGACGAGGTTGTGCTGCAGCACTTTGAGACGTGGGCCGAGAGCTCAGGTACAAGTACTGAAGATTATTTGGTTATATGAAACGGGGTTATTATAGTGATTATCATAACTGTAAGTAATTTTGGTTATTATAATATTGTAATAATTATAATTGTAATTTAATAATGTATATATAAATACACACACATGCATGTATATATTTAAGAAAAATGTTTTGTTTATATATTAAATATTTTCACTTATATAAATTATATGAATCTAGATATATACATGTAAATATTTTCCAAATATATATACTGTATGTGTTTGTATTTATATATACATAACTAATATACACAGTACACATTATGTAAACAAAAACTTTTATTTTGGATGCGATTAATCGTGATTAATCGTTTAACAGCACTAAATTTAAAATTAATAATGGTCATCAACCATTAAAAATTGTTACTTGAAATAAACGTTATCTGAAATAAAATATATAAAACATTAAACTTATGAGGCAACATTTCTCATTTGGTTTCATTTGGTCAAAAACTAAAAACATACATGACAAATTTTTTTTTACAAAATTAAAAAAATTATTATAAAACTAATGTCAAATATAGAGACATTTAGAAATAGAATAGTAATAAAAATTAACAACAAAATTACAAAAACTGAAAAAAAAAAAAAAAATTAAATAAAAAAATCACAAAAGCACATCTAAACTACATATATAAAAAATATGTAGAATTTAAATAAAAACAAAACAAAACAAACAACACACTGACTAAAACTTTTTAAAATGAATATGAAAATATAAACAAATTCAGTAGTATAATACCATCTCATTGATATTAAAATAACAGTAATATGGATGATTCCTAAAAGGCTTATTTTACAGTGGTGTATCCTGTCAGTGTTGTTCTGTAGAGTGTTTGTGTCTCTTGCTGCGGCTGGTTTGAGTCTGATTGGTCTGATTGTGACTGAACTCTGCTGTGATCGGTCCAGATGCGAAGGCGTCCGCTGCGGTGAGCACACGCGTGATGATCTTCTCGTCCTTCCGCGAGAGCGTGCAGGAGATCGCTGAGATGTTGAGCCGTCATCAGCGGCTGGTGAGGGTCATGACCTTCATGGGTCAAGCGTCGGCCGGGAAAGGGGTTCGAGGATTCACGCAGAAAGAACAGCTGGAGGTACATGAGCGCATGTTCACATCAGACCTGTGAGAACAGGAGGTGATCGTTTAGATGCTCAGAGAGCGTGTGTGTGTGTGTGTGTGTGTGCAGGTGGTGCGCCGGTTCCGTGACGGCGGCTTCAACACTCTAGTGTCCACCTGTGTGGGAGAGGAGGGTCTGGACATCGGTGAGGTGGATCTCATCGTGTGTTTCGATGCTCAGAAGAGTCCGATCCGTCTGGTCCAGCGCATGGGCCGCACGGGACGCCGGCGTCAGGGACGAATCGTGGTCATTCTGGCCGAGGGACGCGAGGAACGAGTGAGAGTCTGGTTATAACTGCACCAAAAACAAAATTACTAAAATAACAAATTTAATTAATAAAGTTTGATTAAATAAGGGATATTAAACCATAAAAAAACATTTTGTTACATAAAATAAACATTAACTGAAATAAAATATGCATATTTTTAAATTATTTTAGGTAGTTGCTAAGGCAACATTTCTTATTTTTATTTAGTTTTAGTTGATATCCTAAAGAAACTAAAACTGAAATAAACATATCCAAAATATATAGACATATTTAAAAATAAAACCAAAATAATAAAAATGACAAAAAAAATACTAATAATGTAACAATTAGAAAAAGAAAATCTGGAAATAAAAATGAAATCAAAATATTAATAAAACCATGGCATCTAAATGATACTAAAATAATAACATGATTTCCTAAAGTTTTCGTTACAGTTGCATATCTCGCTCTCTCACAGACGTATAACCAGAGCCAGAGCAACCGGCGCAGCATCAACAAGAGCATCATGGGAAACAAGCACAGTTTCCAGATGTTTGCTCACAGTCCGCGCATGCTGCCCGCGGGGGTCACGCCGACGCTGCACAAGATGCACATCAGCTGCGGTCGGTTCGAGCACAGACCGGTGAAGGGCCGCCGCTCGTCGCTCGCTCTGCAGATCAACGGTACTGACCTGACATCACTACTTTAATTATAAACCTCACAGACCATTGCTCAGTTTATGCTTGAAGAAAGAAAAAGTAATTTTTCCAGAGTAAGAAAAATGACCTGGATGTATGATATACTAATATTATACCCGTCTTATCTTAAACATTTTAGCTTTATATTTATATTTTGTGTGGAGCTTCTGAAGCGAAAAAAATTAGATGGGAGGAAACATATTGCAATGATTTTACTCGCAAAACTTAGAATGCAGAAGTAATGAAATATGATTTATCATCCCGTCTCATATATTTTGTGTCCTTTTACTGCTCTGTAGTTTAGTTTTAAAGATGTTCAGATATTTTCACGGTCGAGACAAACATTCTGGATCTTTAGAATGAATCTGATCTGAATGTCCGGATAAAGCTGAAGAAACCTAACGCTCCAATAGATGATTTACCAAAAACATTGTTGAAATTGTGATAACACTTTACAATGAGGTTTCATTTGTTTACATTAGTTAACATTTCAACATTTACTAATGCATTTTTATTAACAATATTAACAATGAACAATTATATATTTACAAACTAAAATAAAAAAAATGAATATATACTGTAAAAAAAAACATTGTTCTCATAACCAGTGCATTAACTAATGTTAAAGTGATAGTTCATCCAAAAATGAAAATTCTGCCACGGCTTGCCTAAAAGAATATATTTTGAAGAATGTTAGTAAACAAACAGCTGCCGGTAGCCATTGACTTCTGTAGTATGGAAAATAAATACTATGGAATTCAATGGGTACCGTCAGCTGTTTCGTTCCAAACATTCTCCAGAATGTCTTCTTTTGTGTTCAACAGAAGAATGAAACTCGTACAGCTTTGGAACAACATGAGGGAGAGTTAATGATGACAAGATTTTCATTTTAGGGTGAACTGTACCTTTAACAAATGAGACCTAACTGTAAAGAGTGATTGTCGTGTTTGTAAAGCCCAGATGCTCTCGTGATTGTGTGGGATGTGTGAGCAGCAGTGTTTCAGTGAAGTGTGTGTGTCTGTAGATCAGCGGTGCTCTTGTGTTCTGCAGGAGGAGAGCAGAAGTGTGTGAAGGACGATGGGTTTCTGACTGCAGCTGAAGAGGCCGAGTGGATGTCCAGCATGAGACTGTCTTCAGATGAACCTCAGCCGGTCTTCAGACCATCGACGCTGCTGACCTTCAGTGACGAGCCGTCAGAGCAGGTCAATACAGACGAGAACAATCCAGACCTCACTATAAACTTGTGCTCAGCGGAGATCAACACTAACATTTAGGCTTGCGGTTAAGATTTATGTATCTGAATTGCTCATAAAATTTCCATGCATTTGGATTACACCATTTTATTATAAACTAATGAACATAATGTGATGCATATTTGTTATTCATGCATTAATTCATATGTGTGTGTGTGTGTAGGATCCGTGTGTGTCAGGGCCCGTCCGAGAGCTGTCTCTATGGGAGTGGAGACACTGGCAGAACGGGCCGCTCCACACTCACAGCGTTGGACATTCGGAGCGATGCCTCCATTTCACCTCCATCATGGAGCTGATCGACCGGATGAGACAGGAGGAGCAGGTGACACACACACACAAACTCTCTCTCACACACACAAACACACACACTCTCTCACACACACACACACTCACACAAACTCACTCACATACACTCACACAGTCACACACACACTCACAAACACACACACACTCGCAAACACACTCTCGCACGCACGCACACACACACACACACACACACACACACACACACACACACACACACACACACACACACTCTCTCTCACACACGCACACACACTCTCACACACACACTCTCTCTCACACACACAAACACTCTCTCACACACACACATACACACACACGTATCATGTCCTGATACGGATCTCAGAGTCTTAGAGTTGTCAAGGTGAAAAGCGTTAGAATCCGTGTTAAATCTAAACAGATTTAGCAAACTCGCTGCTTTGTTTCTGAATGCGTCACATCGGCCATTAGCTGAATTGGTTTTCAGAAATGAATCGTCTGTTTTTGTTTGATTTTGTTATCTGTATATGCCTGTATTTAATACGAGTGTATAGAAGGCTCACAGGAGCTCTGAATGGTGCTGTGAAGTTTATCTTTCTAGTTTGTTTGAGAGTCAGTCTGTGAGTTCAGAGAATCGACGCCGAACTGAACTGTGATGTCAAGAGCAGAGCCGTATGATACTTTAGTCGCCCAGAGTGGAGATTTAGTCGCATATGCGAGTGATTTACTCGCAGTGTAGAGGGTTGCTGTATGTGTGTCCGCTTGCATCTGTACTGCATTCACATAAGCAGACGATGATTCATAATTCATCATCCAGCTGTCTGGGCAGATCCAGGGCATTGAATCATTTGCCAGTAGTTTAAATTACTCCTGTGGTAATTTTCTTGTTTGATTAATAGTACAGTCGCAGCAGGAATATTAGGCTGCTGTCACTTTAAGAGCTGCACGGATCCAGTTTACTGTTACACACGTATTTTCATTCTCAACTCTTTACGTTAAAAAAAGTGCACCGCTGGAAAGGGGGCAGAATGGGGCTCAATCGTTTCATCTTGATTATTGTATTTTCATAATCGTTGGGGATCGAAATCGAAACTGTATTTCGATTAATTGCACAGAAACTGTATGTGCATCTGCACTGCATTCACATTGGCAGTGATTCATAATTCTTACAATTCCTTAAATTGTCATTAGTTGATCTTAAAATGGTCTTAAAGTCTTAGATGTACCTGCAGGAAGCCTGTGATGAGAGTGACTCGTGTTTGACGTCAGCGATTGGCTGGAGGCTCTTTCCGCTCGCAGTGAATCTGAGCGTCTGTAGATGCTCTCTTATGCAACGCTTCTCAGAACACTTACATAAGCGCTGCCGGCGGGAAGTGGGTCATGCGGAGTGAATACATGACCACGAGACACTGGACACGCCATTCTTTAGCGTGTCACAACAGCGGCTGGAGATGCGTCTGATGGGGATCAGATATTGATCTGCCGTGTTTCTGCAGTAATCAGATCATTCACTGGGGCTACTGAACTGGATTAGTGTGAGTAAGAGGCTCGTCTGCTAAATAAATTCTCTAATACTGCCTTAAAAACAGGCCATGTGGCTTTTTAAAGATCAGTGTTTCCCCTGACATTATATTAGGGGCCCACCCCCAACACACTCACACATGAGCGCACACACACTCACACACACACGAGCGCACACACACTCACACACACACATGAGCTCACACACACTCACACTCATACACACACTCTCACACTCTCTCACACTCACTCACACACACACACACACACACACTCTCACACACTCTCTCACACACACACTCACT